GCATACCTCCTCTCTGCCTTTCCTCCACCCCAACCCTCCTTTTTTTTGTACCCTAGACTCTGAGTACTGAAATAAGTCTGTGCTTTATCCTCTGTTGATTTTCATACACTTTTCATCATTGTTTGAAATGTCCTTGGTATCCATCTCTGCTTTTGTTCATTTCTTGCCTGAATCTACTCATCTTTCAGATGCCTCCTTTTGAGCAAGTTCCCCCCTATCTACTTTCCACCTGCCTCAGAAATTCTAAGGTAGAATGAATATTTTCATGTCATGAATATCCATAATATATTTTCTGGTTTTGTAACTTAAAAAGATTATTCACATGCTGTATCCTGTTATCTATGGCTAAGCTCTAGATTTTATTTATTTATTTGACACAGAGAGAGATCACAAGTAGGTAGAGAAGCAGGCAATGGGGGGGGGGAGCAGGTTCCCCTCTGAGCAGAGAGCCAGATGTGGGGCTTGATCCCAGGACCCTGAGACCATGACCTGAGCTGAAGGCAGAGCCTTAACCCACTGAGTCACCCAGGTGCCCCAATTTCTTTTTTTTTAAATTTTATTTATTTAAGTAATCTCTACACCTCACGTGGGGCTCGAACTCATGACCCAGATATCAAGAGTCCCATGCTTTTCTGATTGAGCCAGCCAGGTGCCCCTCAACTCTAAATTTCTTAAGGGAAGGAGCTTTATATTTATTGATTGTTACATTTCTATATTTCTTTAGTGTCTGGTTTTAATGTTTAGATATAATAACTGCACAATGACTTAGTGTTGAGTGGATAAATTAATTAATGCTTAATATCAGTTGTGAAAACTCTGTTATGTTGTATCAGATGGTGAATTTTAACTTATTTGATATATGGTAGCACTAATGAGATTAGATAAAGTTCTGAGTTAAAAATCAGCTCTTCAGTTATTGACAGGAAAACCACAGTAGTTGCTAGGTGAAAGTGCCTACAGATCGTGTTTTTCATCTTTAGGAAGTTACCCCAAACAGCCTGTTTTCATAGAACATTGGGTTGTAGCACTATATCTATCCTCCAGGAGTTTAGACAGTGTAGAAATCCTCAGTGTATTTGAGATTGTCACAGATAAGAAGAGGAAAATCAATTTCTTGTCTTAACCTTGTTACAAGTGAAAAAATCAAAATAGCAAAATCTTTTTATCAACTAAGGTATTTAGTGGAGATAGTAGACCAAGTAGACAAGATAATGAGAAAAGGTCTTATGCCATAGTTTAGGCTACCATTTTCTGGGAAAGCAATTTACGATGTTTAACCCTAAATAAAGACCGTTCCATTTTTGTGAACATGATGCAGGCATTGAGAACAATGGGTCACCTAATGTGCAGAAAATAGTCAGAAACATCTCATCTCTTATTTTTGTTGTGAAATGGACTTTGCTATGTAGACTGCTAACTTTGTGTAAATACTCTTCTGCTGGTCTTTCTGTTTTTACTATTTTAAGAATCTTTACTTTAGTATGTTACAGAATGATAGAGCTCGCTTTCTCTTGTCTCCATCTTGCAGTCTATGCATTAACTTAGTAGCTACGCCAGACAATCTAGTGTTTGGTAGGATACGTCATGTGCTCTGAGGGGCCTGACTAAGGAATGAGCGGAATGTGTGGGGAGTGTGCTGGACAAGAACATGGTGTATAGTGGGCAAAATTCAGACCGTGGGAGGATTAGTCACACAACTTACAGGAAAAGTTCTGTTGCAAAGATAATGGATCATTTACTTCCTGAATGAGCCATTCAGAAGGAACCTTTGCCAAATCACTCAACTCCCTGATGAGATACTTCAAAGACTCCTACCCGGTTATTGGTTGGTATAGGCGACTTTGTTTGAATCAGCCTTTCCAATCTTTACAATTTCTAATTTATTAATTGCTTAGGTGGAAGGTGTTGGGGAAGCTTTTTGGTCTGTAGAATATATCATTAAATTTGAACATAATTCATGTGTTTTGATAGAAAACAGATTAATTTTTTTTAAAACATTAATTTTGATCATAGATTTAAAAAGAAACTACCTCTTCCCTTGTCTGAGTATACTTTCAACAAGAGCTTTAAGAGTTAATCTTCAATATGTGTTGTCACAAGGAGTAATCAGACTTGAACTTTATAAGCTTAGTACCTTTGGACTTCTGCTGCACACAGTTTATATGTAAGGGAAAAAACCCTGTACAGTTTCTTAATTAAATGAAGTTTTGTTGTCACTTGGTTAGACTTCCTGGTTTTTGAACAAGACAGTATATTAGCCACCTGCAAATGTGGAACTTGAATGTGATGATATAAATTTTTCTGTCCTACTCAAGTTTTTGAGGCTGAGTTAAAATAATTATGCCTAATATTTCTGGCTTCAGGAAATATCAGGGATGACTGATTATATCTGAACCACATATTGATAGAGTGCTAATTTTTAATCAGAATGGTCAGCCACCCCCACTCCCCGAAGGTTATAGAAGGCTCTCCACTTTATTGTGGTTGCTGTCATCTTGAAAGTTGTGCAGAATGTCCATATGAACCTTCATTATAGTCTCAAAACAAGCCAAAAGCTTTATGCTGTGACATTCCATACACGCTGTGTAGAAAAACACGCTTTTGTGCAAAAGGAACAATAATAGATTAATTTCTTACAAATCACATACATACAAATAGAAGTGTTGTTAAGTTTCACTTTTTAACTCACACTTACTGTGTGCGGAAAACCAAGGTCCAGTCTTTGCTTCTCAGACTCAGCACAGTCTGATAGAGGAGATAACAGGTGTAAGCAAGACAGCTCTATATACCAGTAGAATTGACCAAGGTATCAGGTGAGATAAGTTGCTTCTTTCTAGCAGAGAAGATCAGTGAAGGTTTTGGCAATTGTGATTTTGGGTAGGGTTTGAAGGATGTATAGGCAAAGGGAAAAGAGATGAATGAAGTGGAAAAATGCTCCTTGGGCTAGGCTGGCAACAAAACACATGCACCATCTGGGAATCCCTTAGATATGGTGAGCAAGGTTCACCTGCCTTCTTCCTTTCCTCCGCTGCTGGACTGGGGGAAATGGAGAGGAAACCATGATTTTACTCCATGGTCATCTTTTCTCTTTTACTCCCCCACTTGCCCTTTCGGGATTATAAGAGGTTATGGCGAGTAACACTAGGGAAGAGGAATGGGCATGGGTGAAAAGAACCTGCAGTTTAGCATGGGGTGGGGAAGGTGGGGGGGTGGGCTTTGCCATAGTTTTCTTCTTTTACTTTTTCAGTGTCCTCTTCTTTTCCAACGCTTGAAGGAGTCCATCATAGTAAAGAGCAAAGAAAAGTGGGGAGGGGATTTCCTGCAGCAGACCGTATTCAGTCCACCTTCAATTATGTGGGATTAAAGAGCAGGGATTGAGTGGTGTTTGCAGAAAGAAAAAAAAAACAGGTGTCATGCTGAGCATACAAAAATAATCTTGATGGACCCTGACTTTAGTTCTAATATTCTAGGTCATCATAACAGTCATCAGTGACATTTTACTTAGGACCTATAAGATGCATGGGATTGCCTTACAGCATAATAGAGGTTTTTAAAAAACCATTTTTTGTAGAGGTGTAGGGGGTGTTAAAATACCCCCCTTTTTTTCCTGGAAAAATGTTACCTATAGGAGCAGTCACAGCATAGGCTCCTGAGTAGGCATCAATCTTTTGCTCCTCTGTGAAGTCTTTGTCTTTCAGAATATATATTTGTGCATTATTTTTTTTTCCTTTTCCTTAAGTAAAAAGAGAAAAACCAAAACCAAGTGAAAGAAGAGGCTTGAAAAATAATCAAACCTGGGACTTTTAAAGCTTTTTAAAACTACCTTGTGAATAACCAAACTTGCTAGAGAGGTTTATGCTTTGAAGGAAAAACCTGCTGTCTCATTTCAGGATCAGAGTAACATATTTAGCTTCTACTTTGGAGTACTTATCAGGTTTTTCTTCTTCTTCCCCCTCCTCCACCTCCTCTTCCTCCTCCTCTTCTCTCCTCTCCCCCCACTTCTTCTTCTTTGCCTTAAAGTGAACATAGTTTATCTTCTCATAAAATATCCTTTGCCTTCTGAGAAATAATGTCAAGTTGAAAACTGTATTCTTTGATAGTATAGTCAGCTTTAAAAAAAAATATTTATTTGACAGAGCAAGAGAGCACAAGCAAGGGCAACAGTAGGGAGAGAGAGGGAGAAGCAGACTCCCGATGAAGGGCTCTGTCCCAGGACCCTGGGATCATGACCTGAACCAAAGGCAGACAACCAATCATATGAGCCACCCAGGTGCCCCTAGTCAGCTCTTTCTGCTGAGGATTGTTCTAGGAGTTTGGCAGTTGCACTCTGTGTGGCACATTACAGACTACGAGTGAGTCTTTATCAGGGTACATAGTATGCTTATGTGGTGAAACTACTTTATACTTACTGTTTTAAAAAACTAAGGTTTAGGGACACATAGTTGGTTCAGTCAATTAAGCATCTGACTCTTGATTTCAGCTCAGGGTTTGATCTCATCGTGGTGAATTCAAGCCCTGCATTAGGCTCTGTGCTGGGTGTGGAGCCTTACAGGAAGGAAGGAAGGAAGGAAGGAAGGAAGGAAGGAAGGAAGGAAGGAGGGAATGAAACTGGGTGTGGAGCCTACTTACATACGTACATACACACATACACACACACTAAGGTTAACATTTAATTGGAGGGTTAAACATGTTTTTGGAAAATCTGCTTTGCCTCCTTTTAGAAAATATCTGCTATATAAATTGAGAGTTTTCTTAGTCCAAACTCCGGGTAAGATGTCAGTTATGAATGTTACTGATGGTTGATGCATTCAGTGGCTACATCCTTGAGACTCCGTAAGACTGACAAAAGAGGTAAAAATCTGAGACCATCCCTTATGAACTTTCTCCTCAAAAGATAAACCGGAAAGAATTTTCTGATTGGTCATCCGCAGTCCCCTGAGAAGCTCATGGAAGTTCTGTGGAGTTGTACTATGTGAGTATAATCTCTCTTTTTCAGTTCCGCCCCTTGCCATAAAACAGCAAGAGAAAGAAATCAAGGAGCCACTCCTGTCATCGACCACATCACCCCAGCAGGGTCAACAGACAGACCAAGTCCCAGGGAAAAGGCTGCTGGCATCTGAGGATAAACCACTTTGAACAGCTTTTACCTTAACACTGACCTGGAAGACTTTGACTCCTGGTCACAAGGTGAGTTAGGAGAACACAAGCTTAAGATCAGACACAGGATTAGATTAGGCAGTGCTTAATAACAGCAAAAGATTAGTGAGACATTACCAAATCACGGGAAGATGTTTCTTTATACATTCTTTTCTGTGTTCTATGAGACTGCAAAGTAATATATAATAATCCTGGTTATGTTTAGGCATTTTCATAAAAAATTTTAATGGATAACTATTCTTTTGGCTTTTTTTTTTTTTTTTAGGCTAGGAAGTAGAAAAACATGCCAAAAGACTTGTTAACTTTTTCTATGTGTAGTCTGACATCATGTGGAAATAAGACATTGCCCTTCCCTTCTGGGGTAAAAAAGCTGCAGATAATAATAAGCCCACAAAATGAAATGTTAACCCTGCTTGATTATTTACATATATGCACATAGGTGCCTGCATACACATATTCTTAAAATGTATCCTTTTTTAATAATCGTTCTTAGAAAACCAGTGGTTGATTTTCTTTTTTCCCAAGAGACTGAAATAACAAATCAGATATCAGCAATGCTTACTATGGTGGGGGGACTCCTTGTCATCTTTGGTATTTGTGGTTATTATTTTCAGAGCCACTTCACATATGCTGTGTGATATCTTAGGCTCAGTGACTTTGATCTTCAAATTTGGACACATTCCTCCCAGTTAACACAAAGCTTTCTACTGTCTTGAGGTTAGTGATGCCCAGAGTGAGAGGGTGTACCAGCAGAGTTCTTGGGGGCTCCCACAAGCTGTGTGTCCTCTACTCAAACTCTTATTTGCCCTGGGGCACCGGGGTGGTTGTGGTGTTGATTTAGACATCTGTAATTTGGGAAACACCTCAAATCTTCTGATACTGCTCCTACCCTTTCCTTGCATGGACTGGTTCCTCTTGGTAGAACAGAAACCAAGGCTCAACACTTTAATGTAATCATAGTTATGTGAGAAGCTTTTTGTTTATTACTGCATTATTTAAAATTACATTTTAGAACAGAGCTTGCCAACCAGCGGCCTATAGGTCAAATATTAGACAATAATCTTTTAACCTGTAAACATTTTCCTTTTTAAAATGGAGTTAATTCCCAATATTGGACAATCTAGAAACATCACAGAAAAAATCAGTTACCTGGCTTATCTTGGAAGATTAAAAATCTGGTCTTATTACTATTCCAAGGACTGAAGTTTGCTAAGCTTTACCATTCCCTAAGTATTTAATGCAACCGGCCTTCCAGGTTCATGTTGTGTGTCTTGGTGCCTGTAGGCGTTTGCGGTCAAGTCTCCTGCTTTGGGCGTCACTTTCTTCTCCTCTCCTTTCATGATGTCACTTCCATGTACTTTACGCATAACACACTGTTAGTCTTCATTCTTGTTTGTCATTTTATTGCTTTATATGAAAGGTGCGTGTTTGGAAAGTGATGGTTTTCTGAGGTTAAGCTGACTCCTCTGAGACTGACCTATGAAGAAGGAAGACTTTTCCAAAATCAGAATGGTCCATTGTTCTTAGTTTGGAAATTTCATAGTGATGAGGTTTCCAGACCTTGAGGTTGTCATTTTCAGAGTGATAGTGTATGACCCCAGAGTCCAGCACCTGATCTTACTGTTTTCGTCCTTGGGAGGCAAAACCAATTCATTGATTTGACCTCTTTTTGAATGATCCCCATAGACATTGGAGTCCATCTACCAGCCCCTGACTCAGTCTGGACACCAGAGTGATTCAGTGAACAATGTGCTGTGCCATCTACACGTGTGGAACTTTTGACATTGAGAAATCTTGCCATCAGAATCAGGTGTACCTTCAGGCATAGTGGGTTTTAGTCAAATCACAAAGTGTCTCTTTCTGCATCTTTGATTGCTGTATATTGTTGGAAGCTGAACTCTTTCCGGGGATGTTCCTGTCAATTTGATATTGAATCAAAATTTTATACAGTAATAAAGAACTTTAACCACAAAAGCATTTCAAATCATAGGGTCCTTTTCTGTCTACATTAGCTAAACCCAAACATCAATTATTTGATCAGAGTTTACAGCTAGAGGAAACTGACTCAATCCCCAAACAGCAGTTCTTGTCCCAACAATTCATTTACCTTTGAATGGATAGTGCCTGTTACTTTAAGTGGAGTTTAGGTCTCAGGATATCCATTTTTAATGTTGAAGCAGACAGGACAGAAGGCTGGCTGGTCTGGATGTTTATTTCAGGTGGTTTAGGGTCCTGGCTACATTACTTTGCTCTTTCTCAGGGAATCTCCTAGGCCAGTATTGCTTAGGATCTCTTGATCCCTGACCACAAACAGAGATGAAATGTTCATGAATCCCTGTGACCATCAGGTTTAATTTCATGGAAATAAAGTAAATGGAAATTTGTTCCCATACACATTTGCTGACTTGTGAGTTGACCACGAGACAGAAGTTAAACTCTTCTTTTCTCTTTTTTTTAAAAGATTTTATTTATTTATTTGAGAGAGAGAGAAAGAATGAGAGAGAGGAAGAGCATGAGAGGAGAGAGGTCAGCGGGAGAAGCAGACTCCCTGCTGAGCAGGGAGCCCAATGCGGGACTCGATCCCAGGACTCCAGGATGAGGACCTGAGCCGAAGGCAGTTGCCCAACCAACTGAGCCACCCAGGCGCCCCTAAACTTTTCTTTAAAAGGAAAATGCAAACATCTCATTTCCTTTATGAAATGTGTTTATTTGTGTTGTTCTTTCAACATAGGAATTAGTTTGTATGCATGTATACTCAGGAAATATTTCAGAAAGCCCCTTTTATCTCATTTTCTTGAAGTTCTGTTATTACCTCCCCATTCCCTTTTTCTTAACCAGGACTGACAAAATGGGGTAGGGAGTGCTTCAAAGCCATTATGGACATATAAAACAGGTTGGAATGTCATGATTAAGGTAAACTCAGTAAATCAGCTAACCAGTCAGCAAATATAACATGGATAGAGGAGAAACTCTTTGCTGATGTTTGCTCCCTTTTATCTGCTTTGAGGATTGTGAGACTCCTCCCTTAGGTAGTGGAAATGGAGGCGATATCCAGTGAGAATTGGTAATGCCAGTGTCATTTCACCTGCCCCTTTCTTCCTCTCCCAGGCTTCTCCTTTTCTTCTGTCTCTCAGGTTGAAGGAGGTCTCGTCTGCTCAACAGACATCTAATTCTAAAGAGCTGAAGGAGCCTGGGGGAAGGTAGCAGGCCGGTAGCTAGGTCTTTTCTACAGGGAAGCGGAATGAGAGGACCTCAAAACTTCCTTCTCACTCCATTGAGAAGAGTGGAAACAAATGACCAGGGAAGAGTCTCTATCCAGGGATAAAAGCTGTGCTCAGACAAGTTGATCCCCCTGTACATTGTCTTTCTCATTATGGTAGGTGAGGTTTTGGAAAAATGGTCACCCCCAAATCTGAAAAATTTAGACCAGCTTTGAAAAGTAAATTGTGCATTAGATGCATATCCGGTAAAATTGGAATGAAGAAGTAAGTGGGAAAAAAACAAGTATGCTTTAATAATGTAGGTTTCATAAGTGAATAGTAGGGAAGAAGGAAATTTTGATTTATTTAAGATTCTTTTTGTCTTTTGCTGTTTTTTTCTCTACTTTAAAAAAAAATACCTTTCATTTAGAAAAATTTCAAACTCTACAAAAGTAGAGTAAACTGTATAGTGAATTCCTATACACACACTTATTTATCCCTGCTCCTTTTTACTCTTAGGTGAAGTAGACATCGGGATGCCTGGGTGGCTCAGTCAGTTAAGTGTCTGCCTTCAGCTCAAGCCATGATCCCAGAGTCCTGGAATCAAGCCCAGCATCTGGCTCCCTGCTCAGTGGGGAGCCTGCTTCTCCCTCGCTCTCTGCCTGCAACTCCCCCTGCTTGTGCTTGTGCTTGTGCGCTCTCTCTCTCTCAGTCTCTCTGACAAATCAAATAAACAAACAAACAAACAAATAAATAAATAAGATCTTTAGAAGTAGATGTCATGTATTTGGATCAACTAGTATTTGACCCTGAAATACAGTCATCCAGGAAAAGCAGAGTATGAGCTTAAAATTAACTTTTTGATAGACAGTTTCAGAATTAGTGCTTTAATTTCTTTAAAGGGTGATCAAAGATATTTCTTTGTGTGGCTTTTTGTTGTTTTTTTTTAGGGCAAGAGTTTCCTTTTTCCTTGAATATCATCATAAATTCATAGATTTTAAAAATACTTATGTTTTTAGTTAATTGCAGTGATTTCCCCCCAGATCCTCAAGTAATACCTTTTTTTGTTCCTTGGGATTCCCTTCAAATTGGCTCCTATGTATACATACAGAAGAGAGAGCCTATCATAAAAGAATCCCAATGAATTTTCACCAACTGACCATTTCCATATTATCAGCAACCAGAAAAAGATAGAGAACATCCTGGAAGCACTCCTGTCCCATTAATTTCTTGACCCTGCTTTTCTGTACCAAGAGAGGGCCCCAAGCTCCTCTTGTACATTTCCTACCCCAGTCTAAGTACCAGCCATTCCACGAAACCCTCGTTCTTTTAAGTAGTTAATGGAATTCAGAAACTACAGTCTGGGTGTTAAGAGGGCTCATTCTTACGGGTTTTCACAGTTTCTCGGCTTTTTCAAGGGCAGGGTAGAAACTACATATATTTAAAAATAAAACATATGAGCTCATACTGACTTTTTTCAAGTTAACTTTATGGCGTTTTAATATTATTTGATTTTATATCTGTATCTTTTCACTTACACTGAAAATCTTGGTTCAAAATAAGATTACAAATTTACTTGCTTTATTCATTAAGTACATAAAATAGTTGCAAATGAATAAGCTCAGCATGACTACTGCTTATTATGACTTTAATTTTATGCAGAAAAAAAGCTCTAGAGTTTTACTTCTCTTTTATTCTCATGAGTTTTTGGGCTTTCAAAATTTATGTGTGAGGTTAGAAAGTTTTTCCTTCAACTGCGTTTTTCGTATCAATGTTGATATGTTTCTTGGCAGTGAAATTCAGTATCTTCAATATTTAGTTCACCAGATA